CGCCACGGCCCCCGTCTAACTTTAGAGGAGGTTGGGTTCCCTCTCCCCCCGCCATTAATCATATTTCAACGTACTTTTGAGTTTACGTGCTCACAGGAAAGGTAATTAACGGAGGGGTGATGCTACGCAAATCGCTGCCAGCGAGAAGGGAGCTGGGTACAAGGCAGCAGGGAGAGACGAGTGTGTCTTTTGGGGGTCTTAAGATAACGGGAAGGTTGCAGGGTCTCTCTCTAGCCAAGGGGATGGGGAGCTGGGCAAATAATTCCCTCTTTTCTCTCACTTTCCCAGCGAACAAAGCTCTAACCCAGATCCAAGGCGTGCGCATCTGGAGCGGAGAGAGCTGCAGCCTGCTGCCACTCCTGCCCTGCTTTGCTCACCAGCTGGCACAATAAACAGGATGGTTTTCGTTAAGTAAACATCCATTCATAAATGGATGAAATGTGATTATTTGTCTGGTTTCTGTGTACCGCTTCCCAACGCCCAGGCACATACCAAATCTGGAGAGGAAAATCTGGAAATGGTGCTGATATATATACCTACTTAGCCCAGCTGAAGTGCCAGGACAGAAAATCTCTGTTTACTCTCAGGGCCTGACTTTCAGAGTTATTTAGAAGCTGGAAGATGTAAATAATTGTCCAGACAATTGTCCAGACTCATTTCCTACAGATACAGGTCTCGGAGCTCTGGCTACGCGGTGATGCTGGCAGATAAACTCAGTCATAGAGTAAGCATAACTGAAAAGGTGTCCTGGCAGATAATAAGCAATTTCATTTAAAACAACAAAGCAAAAATTAAGAGTGACCTTTGAAGAAGATCACTCTCCAGCTCTCAGCTGTCTGGGTGCTGTATTAATGTAAGAGAGAAACATCAGAGCATAGGCTTCCATCTGTACACAGAGTTATACGAGTTGTTTTTATAAAATGGCGTGAGTCCTTAAAGCCAGGTTGCAAACCTCGCAAAATTTACTCCACTTTAAAGTATTTCGCATGGAGATGTAGCAAACATTATGTTGCTGTTTGTACAGCAGATTTAAGCGACTGAGTATTCTTTGGGGCTGGGCTTGGAAAGACTTTGGGTTTGGACTGTTGTGATCTTCCTGGTCTGTACTGCTGTCTGAGTGGTTATGGCAGTGCTGTTAACATTTGTTATGTGTGTTCTTATACTCCCCAGTAATGAAACGTGTGCAGTGAGGTGTCATGATCTCGTTATCTTAAGGTAAGCAAAGTCCAAAGGATGCCACTGGTCTTCAGAGTGGAAGGTGGGGAGATTTCCCATGGTCTTTGGATCCCATGGAAGACCGTGGGACCTGAGTGCCCTGTGTCTAGGAGATCTCTGTTACTCTGTAATCATGCTACATCCTCCAACTTACCCTCATCAGAGCTTGGATGCCTTCTTCCAGGTCCTTTAGTTTTTCATACACTCTGTCTGAGGTGCCAAAAACCAGATTGTTTGTGAACACCTTGCTTAGGTATTGCACCGGGGTCAACCAGGACTGGATGAGAACCAGTGAAAACCGAAGCAGCTCCATGTCCTGAAATTAAAAAAAAACAAAACAAAACCAAGGGTCAAAGCTGTGCAGGTGAGGTATTTGGTAGTTGCCTGCTCCCACTGAAACAGCCCGGAGGTGACCCAGAGATGTGCCAGTGCTCCTGCAGCTTCAGCAGATACAGACAAGTTTGCAAGCTGAGGAGCACCACCCAGACATATGTCCTGGGCAGACAACAGTTTTCCTCTTCTTTGGGGTGGGAATATGATGTATAGTGTAACCCAGAAGGGCCTTTCTTTCTTCATGCAGGGATGAAATAGTAAAAAAGGGAGAGGAGGAATGATACCTCAGGAAGCACTGAATTGCTTACAGATGGAAACCCTCTGTTCCTGTAACGAAGCACAGCTGGGCTCTTCAGACAGGTCTGTGCTTGCCCTGGGGAGAGAACTTACCGATTTCTGCTGGGCGTCATCCTTCCCTGTGGGAGCAGGGATGGTTTCCGAGTAACAAAATGCTGCCTGGGAATTTTTGTTGGCATGTCTTTGGTCCTCTGGAATATAGGTGCGTTCCTGTGGAGACATCCCAGATACACTCAGATTTGTTGCCCGTGTACTGGGAGAAGACTGTAGACACTTTCCCAAGCTGTCCTGAATGGTAACTTTTTGCAAGAAATAAACATGAGACATGAGGTGTCTCCGTACAGGATTGGCAGGTAGGAACAGGGGTTTGTATGTTGGCACAGTCGCTACTGGACCTATAGGTCTTCCTTGCGCTAAGCCAAAGTGCTAAGGTGAATGCAAAACACGCTTGGACCGGGTTCTCCCAAGGAGTAGATGACCCCCAGGGACAGCTCTTGCCAAAGGGACAGCTCGTGCCACCTCGGGGCAACAGCAGAGACTGGATAGTTTTAAGCACTCGGAATCAGCCAGGGTCGTAGGTGACCGTCACAGGAAAGTCTTGCAAAATATCTGTGCCATCTCCCGCTCCTTTCAGGACAGGTTTCTCTTTGAGACAGCTGACCCCGAGCGGTAGGTTTGGATGTGGGCAGCGATGGCCCTGAGGAGGGGACTGTGTGGGATTGGAGGCGGAGGCAGAGAGCTGAGAGGAGGAGAACTGACCCCAGGCTGAAGGGATGTAACCTGTCCTGTCCTATTAAGGCCCTTTCTCCTCATCAGGAGCTGACAGAGAAGACACCGATAGTTGAAAAGTCCCTGTTTCTAGGAAGTTATACTGGGTGGGAAGCTGTGGCGCAGTCCTGAAACTGCCAAGCTAATGCGGAGGAGATGCCCGGAGGCCACCACACTTACGAACTCTTTGTATGTCTCGGCAGCCAGGAGGTGAAGGTGCTGAGCCCTCAGCACAGCATTGGCAAACAGGTTGGAAAGGGGCATGGCCGGGAAGGTGGCAGCTTCCTGTGGCCACTGCAGTCCCAGAGTGATCACAGCAATGAAGAGAGGAGAAAACCACGACCCTGCAGCGAAGCGGAGAGGAAAGGTGTTAGCAGCCCTTTAGTGACCGTGCTGAGGAGGGGGGTGGCACCTGGGGATTAATTCCCAGCCTCTTCTGTCCGTGCTGGCTGAGGGCTCACCTTCCTTGATGTCTTGCTGGACTCTGTGGGTGAGCTTAGCCCTCCCCAAAATCAAATGAAACCCTGTTCCCTTTCACTAGACGTGCCCTCGGGGCTTGTACTGCTCCCAGTGTTATAAGCAGCATCCTCCTGGCTGAAGAGTCATTGTTGCTCCATGAAAACTAGAAGGTGTCCCTATGTTTTTCCCTAACATCCTCATGTTTTTCCATAGGCCTTGCCCTCATGAGAAGAGCACAGTGCACTCTTCATTGCGTGAGCAAGCAGGGGTTGGTGAGTACCAGGTGAGGGCCTGGGGGTACCTCGCTTTAGCCTTGCCTTACGCCATGCTGCTGACGTGAAACCGGCTGTCTGCCTTCACTAGGACGAGAGCCGATGACATTGCCTGTGCTGCCACCAGCTACTTTTGCTCTCTGGGACATACATGTAGAATTTGGTGATCTTTGTCAAGCCTAAAGGTTTTCAACCCGTGACATCTAACTCACACGAGTGTCCATCTGTGCTTACAGAGACCACAGAGTTAATCTCAGACAAATACCCTTCAGTGGAGGCATGACTTGGAGCCTGTAGGACTTGGACAAATGCATTAGACATCATCCTGATCCCCGTCTTAAGCTTTGAATATGAGTTTTAATATCCCTGCCAACATTTACGTTAATAATAACTATTATAACTGTGGCTTGACCTTGTTCTTCATGTTCTCCCTCCTCTCCTTGCCCAGTTTAGGCTAATGACTACCTAAGTTAATTCATGGATTAAAGTCACACTGTAGGACATTGATTTATAAGTTGCCACATTTTAATTTAGGGCTGGCACTGAGTGTGTATAGCCCACCACAGTACCACCCCATCGTCATCTCCCATCACCCTAAGCATGCAGCAGCGCTGGCAATCCTTTAAAACTGAAATAAAGAAAAGTACCTGGAGCCATTTCTGCCCGGTGAGTTGCTCAGGTGTTGCTTGACAGTGAATGTTTCCTCCTCTCATCTAGGCGGGTAAAGGTAACTGTTGAGCCACCCCTTATATAGGAGGGGGTCTGTTTAAAATGTATATATGTGTTCATGATCACAACAACATCTCTGTATCTTCTCTGTGCATAAATGCACAAGTGTTCGCAATGGTGCTACCTAATTGTAGTCATTTATACATAGATGTAAAGGTCGGGGAGGTTGTTTGCCTAAGGATGAAATCAGTGCTGAATGATTTCACCATATTCTGCTGTTTATTGCAAGTGAAGGTTTTATCATCATTGGAAGACCCATCCCAAATCAGATCAGTGCTTTTACGCAGGGGAATTTGCTGCAGGGCGTCGAGAATTCACCTGATTCTCCTGCCTGCCTCTGCAGCCTTGGCCCACAGTTAACGGGGCTGACTGGCCAGTCTGGGAGACTCCTGACCTAAAGCAAGTGGGATGTTTTCCCGTTTACTGTTAGCGGGGACAGAGCTGGATGGATGCTGTTGGATGAATCCTATCTCCCGCTTAACTGCTTCCATGCTACCAAAGTTTCAAAAGTTCAGTAAATAGTTGTGGTGAGCTGGTTTGGCATAGGTGTGATGAAGAGCTGTCATACCCAGGTGCTTGTGCGGGTGCCGGCCTGCCCACTGCAAATTCAGATGCCGGCGCTCTGGGAGGTTTCTCACATGCTCAGCTGGACAAGGCTACGTGAAGATCTGGTTATGAGCTGCTGCTTGCTCTTGCCTGAGACACAAATGTGAAATATGTCTGGGTTAAGCAGAGGGCTGGTGTGGAAAGGAGGGAGAGGAGATGGGGAAGAGGACAGGTCACAGTGCACCTAACCCTGCTTTTGAGCAAAACAAGACAGAACCTGGGATGGGCAACTCCAGGGGGGACTTAAAGAACATTTACTCCCCATAAGGCACCGATTGCCCCAAACCACCCTGTTTTGGCCCTTTGTCCGGGGTTCAGGGACTGCTCCCTGGTCAGGGGTGGTGATTTGGCTGCCCCGGGCCCTGGGTTTGCCGTGCCGTCCTGGTGTGGCTCTGGTTTCTGAGAGCAGCGTCATCGCCGGGGCGGCTGGAGCAGAGGGTGCGAGAGCTGGTTAATAAACATGCCGGGGAGAGCGCGGTCTGTTCCGAGAAGCCCCCAGCTGTTTGCTCGCTGGAGACATGGTGGTGTCGCAGAGTAAATGTCAGTCCCTAGAGAAGAGGGAACAGTGGGTCCCGCAGCTATCAGGTGTCCCGTCACCCAATAGCCAGCAACATCTGGGTGTGTTTTTTTACTCCAGATCCTGTTTAAATATGTCAGTATTTGTCAGAGATGAGCAGAGCAGCAGGCACCCCAGCCTAGCACAGGCTCTGCCGCCTGTTAATGATGATGCCCTACCGCTGCAGCTAGATTGGTACGGCACCTTGCACCCGAGTCCTGCCCATCACTTGCTGCCCTGCTGCCTCTCTAGCTCTGTTAGTAAAAGCATGGCGTTAAAGCAACGTTTTTTTATGTTGCAGCCAAGCATGGAGACGCCAGGATGATCCAGACTGTGCAGTGCCCCCGAGACTTGGTTTGTCCCCGATCGTCTCTGGGCATTAAATGAAGCAGAAGCGTCGTGGAGAAGGCAGCACGTGACGGCGAAATGCTGGGCTGGGCGAACACACGCCACTGGCAGAATTACAGTTGCATAAGCAGCTCTCAAATACCAGCTTGGCGTTTTTCTAGCTTTCAAATGCCTGCATTTGCGACCCAAAGGAGCATCTCATAAAGCAGCGTGACACTGTAATCTCCAAGTCCCTTTTCTTTTTTGAAAGAGAAAAAAAACCTCAGCTCTCTTCAGGGTGGTCCTGTGTCCACCCGCCTTACCCTGAGCATCACCAGCAGCATCTAAACAAGTGAAGCAACGCTTCTTGTAGGCTCGTACGCTCCTTGGCTCCTCCTGACCCCCAGCCTGTGTTGGCTGTGTGGAGGGGACCTTCCCAGGCTGGCGGGCGAGCTGGAGCCGGCGCATCCTGACCGAGGAGCCAGCTGCTGGCCCACAGCCCAGGCTCTGCACTTCGGTGGGCAGCGACGTGGTTGACAGAGGCTTTAAGTGACGGTTGACTGCCTCTGCTAGCTCACTGCTCGGAAAGGAAATATTCCTTTTGAGATTGAATTGATGGGTTTTATTTACTGGAGCTAGAACTGCTCGGTTTCACTGAACCCATTTCTAAAGATGCGGCTGATGAGGTCCAGGACTGCGACCCAGTCTGCCTGACCGTCCTGCTGATGGTAGGGATACAAATCAGGACAGATACAGAGCCTGGACTGTGTATACCAAAAGATATTTATTTACATTAAATGCATTTTAAATGCAAACCTATCTCATTATAAAATTATAACAAACCCTATCTCTAAGCTCCCTAGAAACTAGTGTAAGCATTTCAAATTAAACACTAACACTACAGAAATATTTATTTGCTTCTGGCATTTTAAAGGAAGCCAAAGCCCCGGGCTAAGAGTGTAGCCAAGCGGCAGAGCGGAACTGGGGTCGCCGAAACTGCTTTTGACACCGGTGGCTTCCTCTCCAGGTGCAAACAGCAGATTCTCCTTATTTTGGTATGATTTGGTTAAGTCAGTTGAGCGAGTTGTTTACCCAGAGCTGAGAAGGCGGTTGGGAACTGGGAAGGCCGGAAAACTTGCCTTCCTCTTCCATTTCGTAACTGAAAACAAGGGATGGAGGGATGAGCTCTGCTAGTCCTGAAATCTTGGCAAACATGGAAACTGGGAACAGCCAGTTCACTTCTCTCGCTGTGAATACTCCTTTCTTTAATTAATCAATTTTATAAGTAAAACATGTTTAAGTAACATTTATATACATGTGCGTGCAACTAATTTGGGATAGTTTTATTTAACTAGTAAAAATCAACCTTAAAATGCTAGGTTTGTGCTATTTAGATTGGAGTTTTCCATGAAGGCGGTTTGCTCCTAAACAAGAACCATCCTGTTCCCTGCTGAAAAGCCCTGTTTGCTCACGATTTTACGCTCACGATTTTCCCCTCCCTTTTCTGCCGGCTTTTTAGGGAAGTGGAGCAGTCCTGTCTTCTTGGGGCTCAAAACGTCGCGAGCCACAGGGGCGCGGGGGCCCTGGGGTCTCCGAGGGAGGACAGGCTTTCAGCCCCATCGTCCTTGTCACCGCCTCGTCCAGCCAAACCCACCAAACCCACCAAACCCACCGCGCTGTGCCAGCCGTGCCTCTCCGGACCCCCCGCGCCCTGGTGTTGGGTGCCCAGCCAGCCCCGAGTCCCATCGCCCACACAGCTGCTGCTGCCGTGCCAAAATAGTTTTTATTAACAGAACCAATTAGTGCCGCTCTGCTCCTCTCCAGATGTTTTTTAGCTTCTCTTGTGAGACCAGATGTAGCCGGGAGCGGAGCTCCTGGCCCTGGGCCCTGTTCTCCTGCTTCGGATCCCGGCGATGGCCTTTGTCTCTCATCCCAAGCTGACGTCTTGGGACCGTGGAGGTCCCCCCGTGCGTGCTCAGCGAGAGCTTCCAGGGGAGCTCCACGGCTGCTCTTGGCTTTATATCCCTGCCTGTGCTCGGCGCCCTGACGGGGTGAAGTTTGGCTTCTAGCTAAGCTGGACCCGTGAAAAGCTGCTCCTTGTTCCCAGGGCATCCCACCAACACTGGGTTGCACCCAGGGTTATGGGACACCCCCGGACCGGGCACGGCAGGACGGAGCAGGATGTGAATTTACCCAGTACCTTTATTAGGACTTCAAAAAGCAGTTGGACATTTGTGTCCCACATTTACATCTTTCCCATAGGTTCTGAGGTCGCACGTGTCCCTCACCAAGGGGACGTCCTCGTGACACAGGCCAGCTCTTGCCTGGAGAGGAGGAAGCCTTGCACAAGCAAGACCCTCTGGGCGAGAGCTGTCTCCCCAGCGTTTCCTGTAGTCTTTGCGGCGAAAGAGGTGCTTTTGGAGGATCCTCCATCTCCGACAGCTGCAAGCTTGGCCTGCTGGACATGTCCATGGCTTGAGAGATGAACAGTGGCCCAAAATCTGCTTCTTGGAACACCCACATGGTGCTGCTCCCCTCGGCTCCTCTGCCAGGGCTGCAGCAGGGTCTCATAGCCCAGGAGGGTCCTTGGGGCACGTGGAGTGATCATAACTGGTCCTCTCCTTCCCAGGTGGGGCTGGAGGAGCCCCACCACCCACCCTGGTTAATGCTCCATTGCATTAACTGCGCAGGAGCTCAGCACCGTGGCGTGGGGCTGCCCGGGGTTTGGGGCCAGTTTGCTACCGGGGGGACTGCGGTTGGCTCCTAATTTCTACAGAGGCTTTAGGGGTTCATCAGTGGGGCGGTGAGAGTGACAGCCAGGGCAGGGCAGCCTTGGTGGGCACAGCCCGGACGCGGCAAAGCGAGCACCCAAGGGCAGCAGGACCCGAGCTCCGTGCAGGGCTGCTGGAGGTGG